TAGAGCCGCGGAAGTCTACGAGGCTGCCCTCGATGAGGTCACTCAGATTCTGCAGAAGCAACGTGAGGAAGGACTGGGAAAGGATGAAGACCATATTTACCGCGCTGATGAGGACTACGATGAGCAGAAACGACAGGCTATGGGAGTGCAACTAACTGCAGAACAGTTGGCCATCCTGGCTCAGTTGTCGGGTTGTGTACAGTTCCAACATCTGAACCCCTGTGAGAAACAGCTCTGTTTCCATCTTCGATACCGGTCGATAGACGGGAGCTGCAATAACCTGAAGAACCCCCGTTGGGGCACCGCATTGGCGCCGTTTTATAGGCTTTTGCCGCCGGTCTATGAGAACGGGGTAAATACACCAGTAGGTTGGTCACCGGAGAGGCTGTACTTTGGGTTTCCAAAACCTTCGGCCCGTCTTGTCTCCTACACACTCCTCGGAGATGCCACGAAACTTCAAGTGCACACGAAGAAGTAAGTCCGTCTTTTGAGTGAGATGATGTGTTTTGTCTGTAAATATTTCACACAGAGATGCCATAAGAGTTTTAATTAATAGCTGACGGGTAAAAAAACAAATTTTTCTGCTACGTGAATGTGTTTTGACAACGATGTTGACATTTAACATGTAGTTACGGTATGTGACCTGTCAGATGAAAGATGCCTAAGTTAGCGAAAAACCACTGCTCAAGCTAAAATCAACCCAATTTCACAGATCAAAGCAGCAGGCTAATAATGAGTGACCCCCTATTTAACTGAAAACGCAAAATAAGCATTTGAAATAACAATTTTCTCTCAAAGCGGAAATACCGAAAGGAAGAAAATTAATTTTGAATAGGTAAGCGTAATTTTTAGAGGTACGCAGTGCTTGCCCATGCAAATGACTTACTATATAAAACGACATAAACACAGCACTATTTAAAACTTATTTTTAAGGTATTTTTTTCATTAAATGTCCTCAAAACTAGGGTTCTATAACGTCTGGCACAAATTCAAAACCGTTCATTTGTCTTTTTTGGTCTTTTTGGGCGACATCGATGCATGTTTTGATTTTTATCTTGTTTACGGTTGACAAAGGTGTGAAGGATTTCGTATGATTCCTCTGGAGGCAGTTTGACAGGCCGGTCAGTGACTATTAAATTTAAATAAATCTGTTAAGTGCAATCGTCACCAAACTATTTGGCGTACATTAATAGAGCATTTCTTCCGTCACTTTCCGATTTTTGCTAATAACGAAGTCCGCTGAATTTTAGAGTGTCCTTAGAGTATCACTGACCATCAAGATTTACAGTGCTTACAATCGTTTGCCCATAAAGATAGGTTTTGCGTTTTGTATTTAGCGAAATCTCCAAAATAAGACATTTCTTGCATCCATTTACTGAAGTAGTGAGTGCTTGGGCGTCCTTTTTCACGAGGAGAGGCAGTTGAGTCGCAGCATATCCACGAAGAACTAAATATAACAAACTGAGCACAATACTGTCTAAAGATGTGAAGTTAGATATAGTTGGAGTAAATATAATCCAGGAATTAATGTTTTGTGAACTACAGCATAAAGTGAATTGGGTATTATTTGCTGATGGGTTCCAGCATTGTCCCATGGGAATACGATGTAATTTTTTCCGATTATCGATTGTTTAAGATGCGGCTGATGGAAACAAAGAGGACTTCTTTAGATTTCACTGATATAGACGTTACAGGAATAAAAGTTTCCTGGCACGTCAGTATTTTTTAGCTTTTTATGAACTCATATATAGCAGTTCCTTTCTGGTCGCCGAGTGTGGGGATTCAGGGAATTTTATATACAGGTAAATTTGTAGTCTCCAGCGGAATCGAACTGCCGACCTTGCCGGTCCGGTATTTTGTCGTTGAGCTACACCCAGTACGCTTTTCATCTGTGCAGCTTATAATAATTACTGTAGGCAGAAGGGCATTACCGAAGAAGACCAGGGAGACTGGAATGTCTACTTGTGGCTTACTTACGATCAGCAGTCAGCCATACCGTCGGCGACTACTGGCGGGGCTCGAGAGTGTGCCCCAAGACAGAACGGCTCGAGTGA